TTTACAATCCCACCAACAATGAATGAGGGTTCCGATTTTCTCCACATCCTCAACAACACGTTTTGTTTTTCCTTTTTCTGATAATAGCCATCCTAATGGGGGTGAAGTGGTGTCTTGTTGTGGTTTTGATTTGCATTTCCGTAATGGCTAATAACATTGAGCATCTCTTCATATGGTTATTGGCCATTTGTATATCTTCTTTGGTGACATGTCTGTTCAAGCCCTTTGTCCATTTTTTGTTTGGGTTGTTTGTCTTTCTGTCATCTCTCTGTTTTTATAGCATGAATATATCACAATTTATTCAGTAATTCCCCTACTGGTATTGTTTCCACCCTTTTATCACTCTAAACAGTGCTTCAGCAAATGTTCTTTCAATATGCCCACAGGTCAAAGAGGATCAGCCTCTCATATAGAGTAGGATTTTTCTTCAGTCAAAGGTATATTACTAGCTGTCTGTCTCTGCTTAAATGACCTTAAGTCTGTGTTTTTCAAATCGCATGTCCAGATCCATTAGTAGGTGATGAAATCATTTTAGAGAGTCACTCTTAGGATTGTTTTAATGAAGTAGGATAGAGAGGATAGACTTTCAGGAAGCATCACATGTGGTAAAATTAGAATTGTTCCACAAAACTGTTGGTTCAGTTATAGATCTATGAACACATACATGTGTACTGTTGGGAGCCCTGGTGGCACCATAGTTAAGATCTTAGCTGCTAACCAAAAGGTCAGCAGTTTGAATCCACCAGCCGCTCACTGGAAACCCTTTAGGGCAGTTCTACTCTGTCCTATCAGGTCGCTATGAGTTGGAATTGACTCAGTGGCAATGGGTTTGGTTTTTGTTTTCGGTGTATTGTTAGGAAAATAAAATTAAAAACAAAATCTCCTGCCAACTCAGAAAACGTCTCCACAAAGGTAGAAGAGAAAGAAAATAGTTTTATTATTGAATATACGTTAAACCAGAATGTGAGTCACATCACAGGCAGTCTGCTAGCAAGACTAGATACAAGTAGATACAACCCCATTACATACATGTTTTTAAGATAAACAATAACTAGTCCTCAAATGGTGTCCTTGGGGGTGCGAATGATTAATGTGCTCAGCTGCTAACCTAAAAGTTGGAGATTCAAGTTCACCCAGAGGTGCCTCAGAAAAAAGTCCTGGTATCCACTTCTGAAAAATCAGCCATTGAAAATCCTATGGAGCACAGTTCTACTCTGACACACATAGGGTCACCATGAGTTGGAATTGACTTGGCAAGCAGTTGATACTGGTTTTAGTCCTCAATAGGACTTGACAGCACCATTTGTAACACATTGTTCATCCTAAATTCACCTGGTGATTGGGGTGACCATCTGTATTTGTTAATTGCCTTTATCCAAAGGGAAAAATAAAACATGTCATATCTTATGACAGGTAGTAGGTTTGCACACCGAAGTTAGGTTCCTACCCTCCCACAGAAACAGGGAGATAGTGTCATTATATTCCTTGATGATTACATTTCAAAGAGATGGCTCCCAGGCCCTTGAGAAAGATATTCCTGGATTTTAAGGCTGTCAAGAGGCTTATTTAACTTTTAAGAGATTTACATACATCTCAAAGAGACAGAGAAATAATTTATAATTACAAGTTTTCTAAGGAAAATGCTCTAAGTAAAAGGAGGGGAGAAGTCTCCCTTTTTCCACCAGGGAAAATTAATTTCTTTTTTTATTTGTATTTACCCTTACTGCATATAGAGCTACAGCATTAAATATATTTCTTTTTCTGGATCACAGTCAAAAAAATTGAAAAACACACCACATAAAGTTTCTAAGGGAAACCTTGTGGTCCTGGAAAGTTTGTAATTGCTCATGAGAAAGATATGCAGTCATGAGCTGTATGTCAGTTTTGCATTCTCCCTCTTGGTGTGCCTGTTCCTCTCACTGTAAGCTGAGGATTTGCTTTTTCACCTAGCCATAGAGTATAGCTGTGAAGCGTTTGGGGACTATAGGTCCAGCCTCTTACTTCAAGAACAATCTGGCTCCACAGTTCAGTAAAAGCTTTAACACGCACACACACACACTCCCTCCCCCACACCCAGGCTAAAAACCTGATTAGGCCACACGGACTTTTAAAAGAATTTGGAAGAGAACATGAACATCCCAGTTAAGACTGTGTGCTCCAAACACACTCATTAACAGGGAAACTGAAGTCCAAAGAAGTAAAGCAGCATGTTCTGGGTCACAGAACCACAGATCCAGAACTAAAACAAGTCACCAAGTTGTCAACTTTAAATCTTTTTTAATTATATAATGTGCAATGTAGGAAAATTAGAAAATACAGATTAACAAAAATATGAAAAATATATACATGCAGTCTCACAAAAAGAAGATCATAACATGAACATTTTTGTAACGTGCTTTTTTCGTTAATATTTTCATATATTTTGAACATCTTTCCACATCAATAAATATACTTCTGCCCCAATGTTTTCATGTTGTTTAGTCTTCATCGTGCCATAATTTAACCATTCCCCTAGGTCTGATATTTGTTTTCAACTGGGGAAAAAAGGGAGTTTTTAAAAACACAATTTATATTAATTACTGAGGTATAAACACCTGAAATAATGATTGCCTGTATTTGCTCAATAAACTCTTCCTCAGTAAGCCTCCTTTGCCACTTCCCTGTAAAAGACTTAAGTTTCTCTTAGTCATATACTTTAATTTTACAAGCAAAGGGATGGTCGAGGGGGACCCAAGGGAAGGGGTCTTTCCTTTCTTATCAGTCAACAAATTCAAGAATATGAGTTCCCTTGGTAACAGTTAATGGCAGGGCTAACAACCTGGCAGGGTAGGAATTTGTACCACTGTGGTACATACAAGAGATGTTTCTGGCCCCGGTAGATGTTACAAATAGACACTTTTGGTGGGTGTTTTCCCTAAGTAAAGAATAGGAAAGATTTGTCGCCAGATAGTATGTGTATTAAGATTTTGTACGCCACACTTAATTAATTGGAAAATGTTTATTAAGCATCTGTTTATTATCAAGCATCTATTCTGTGCCAGACACATTGCTAGGCACTGGAGGTAGATGCCCTACAGGGCAAAAACAATCTAGTAATAATCATACTATTGAATGTGTAATGACAACCAGTTGCTCTAAACCAGAAGAGCATGGTGCTGTAGCACTGTGATCTGGACTAGGGAGTCAGCAGTGACTTCCCTGAGGAAGTTATACTTGAACTGAGCTCTGACAAATGAGTGGCACTAATTGGTTGGAGAGAAATGTTTAGTGGTCTGAAAAAGAGAGGGAGCATGGCAAATAGAGACTGAAAAAAGGCCAGTGTGGTTGGAAGACAGAGTGAAAAAGGGAGCCAGGCTGGGGCCAGATCATGCAGGGCCTCATTGACCATGGTAGCGAGATTTGATTTGGGGTACCTTATCCTGAAAGCTGTAAGAAGCCATTGAAAAGTTTTAAGCAAGGGAAAACATGACACCTGAATGTCCTTGTCCTGGAGGCATCTTTAATTCGATATGTACAAAGTCCAATTTAATTGGCCCTCTTCCTTATTTTCCAATTTCTGTAAATGGCACTATCATTCTTCTAGTTAGTAAATTTGAAACTGCCCTCTCTTCTATTACCCTTGATCCAATCAGTTATCAATTGATTCCTCAATTTCTCTAATTCTATTTCCATGGTATCAAATACACTCAGTATCATTCCTGCTGCTACTTTTTCAGTTTAAACGTCTGCCTCTTGCCTGGACTATTATAATAGCCTTCTAATTGGTCCTACCTCTCCTCCTACCCATGTCACTGTTCTCCCAAACAGATGATAACTTCCTACCCATCCTTCAAGGCTCAGTTGACCCCCAGTAGTGTGGTCTCACCTTTCCTTAGATATTCCCAGCACTTTGTCTGACTCTTTTTTGAATTCTGATATTAGGTAGCTTGAGTGTTAAGACTCTATCCTTTCTGTATTCTATTCCCTATAATGAGCTGTTAGTGCCTTGCACATAGTGCTGTTCAATAAGCCTTGATTAGAATGGACTGAGAGCAAGGCCAAAATGGACTCTGCTCCACGTTACTTAGAACAAGCATTCCCTGGCTGACTGCCACTAAGGTTCTTCAGGCTAGGAAGTAGCAGATCAGCTTTGCATTGTGCCATGTCATGCCCTCACTCCAATGCTGTACCCTGGTGCTGCAGAGGAAGGGCAGGGATTAAGTTACTTTTTAAGCTGTAAAGGGTATGGGCCTTTCTTAAACAATTCAGAAAATCAAAGCAGAAAATATAAGAATGACAAAAGTGAAGCCTTAGAAATGTGAGAAGTACCTCAGCGCTCATAATAGGCCAGTGGTCTGACAGACCCACAAAGAGGCATTGCTGCTAATTAGAGGGGGCAAAGGCGTGTTCGTGACCTTGACCACATAGATGGGGTGGCAGAGCTTCCTAACCACCTAATTCAGGAATCCTCGAAGTGCAGAAGTTCATTTGAAAAGATAATCCCTGGGTGGATTGTGCACAGCGTTTATTGGAGGAGCTTTCCTTCAATCAGAGGGTCTGAAATGTGCTGCTTCTGGCTTGCTTTACACCTTGGATCTTCTTATGCTGCAGAGGAGACACTTGGGCTCTGAAGTCTCCAACTGTCTCAAAGTAGCAGAGGCCTGGGCCCTTGACCAAATTGGCTTTAAGATGGGAAAGAAGATAGAGATACCATTTCAACCATTTCACGTTTGTAGAATGCTCATTATCTAATGTTGTCCTCATGAGAGCCCTGTGAGTGGGCTGGGCAGATAGCTGTCATTTCACAGCTAGGAAAACCAAAGTCACAGGGCCATCAGAACTAGAACCAAGGTCTTCTGACTCCTTACCAAGTGCTCTCTCCACTCCACTATGCCACTGAGTTCCAGAGCAGGGAGAAACTATTTAATAACACTTGCCACTTGGATGAATGGTTGAGTTGATTGTCCCAGCATGTTCAGCCATTGGCTGAGAGTCTGTGGCCCTTTGCTTTTTGCCCACAGAGCCATGGGGGTGTTGATGTCCAAGCGGCAAACAGTGGAGCAGGTGCAGAAGGTGAGCCTGGCTGTGTCTGCCTTCAAGGATGGGCTACGGGACAGGCCTTCCCTCCGACGCACGGGTGAGCCAGCAGGGTCTCGCCGTGGCACTGTAGAGGGCTCTGTCCAGGAGGTACAGGAGGAGAAGGAAGCAGAGGCAGACACCCCAGTGCTCCAGGAAGAGAGCAGAGTCAACCGTGCAGCTTGGGAGCGGCTCCGAGATGGGCGTGGAGTGGAGCCTGAGGAGTTTGACAGGACCAATCGTTTCACACCCCCTGCCTTCATACGCCCCACCCGGAAGTTGGATGATGACAAGCCTCCAGATATCTGCCTGGATCCCAGAGAGCCTGTGAGTGCCCAATGAGGGCAGAATCTTTAAGTCTTAGACCTTTTGAGGATCAGGAAGCAGGACAGGGAGGGCTAGGTATGGTTGAGGTAATACCAGCATGACCAAGGTAAGTCCAGAACAGTCTTTGAATTTCTTCCATAAGAATAAAAATCTTTGAATTTCTTACACCCTAGGTTACTCTTAGTGAAAGGCTTGGGGTGGTGGGTAATAGGGAATGATACCATGACAGGTCTTCTGCCAACCCTACAACCAGGGGTTCTCAACTATGGATAATTCTACCCCCTATAGGGGCATTTGGGAATTTGGGAGGGGGCAGTTTGGGAGGTCACAATGACTAGAGTTTGCTATTGGTGTTTTGTGCCGGGAAAACCAGGGATACTAAGTGTCCTGCAATGTCTGAGATAATCTCTTACAACAAATTGTTCTTTCCAAAATGCCAGTAGCATCCCTGTTCAAAAACATGGTCACAGAACCCTGAGCAGCTGGAAGAGCCGCCTGATTCTTGTCCTCCGTAGACAAAGCTGTATTGCTTTAACACTGCCTTCAGTCAGAGCTGCTCCTGTTGGCAGCTCCAGGGAGACTCAGTCCCATGTGGGAAGCTCTGTGTTTGGTGGCCATAGGATCTTGCTGCCTGCTCTTACACATCCCCATTCACCCTGCCATCTTTCCCCAGGTTGTCAACGATGAGATGTGTGATGTCTGTGAGGTCTGGACAGCTGAGAGCCTCTTCCCATGCAGGGTCTGCACCAGGGTTTTCCATGATGGTTGCCTGCGCCGCATGGGCTACATCCAGGGAGACAGTCCAGCAGAAGTGACTGAGATGGCCCACACAGAAACAGGCTGGAGCTGTCACTACTGTGTGAGCAGGAGCTTCGGGGGCAGTGGGCTGCTACACAGCAGGGGACCTGGTACTTTTCTTGGAGGCCCAGTCTTGGAACATTTGTTTCTAGATAGTGACCTAGAGAGTTTTCTTAATAGTAGATACAAAGATCCTAGAGCTAGGACAAGGTTTCTCAGCCTCAGCACTATTAACATTTGGGGCTGGATACTTCTTTGTTATGAGTCTGTGTATGTTGTAGGATACACAGCAGGATATAGCAGCATCTTTGACTTCTACCCTCTAGATGCCAGTATCAGCCCCACCACAGTTGTGACCATGAAAAATGTCTCCAGACATTACCAAATGTGTCCTGGGATACAGAATCACGCCCAGTTGAAAACCACTGAGCTAGAGGATTGAATGGATAGGATGAGACCTAAACACTCAAAAGTAATTTGCTTGGAACAGTGCTTTTTCTAATACTCTGTAGTTGTCATTCATTGTATTCATCTGAAAAACTAACCTGAAATCCTAACCAGCTTGCTTCTAATAAAGATAGATTTTATCACAGGAAAACTTCTTAGTCCTGAGATCCTTACTTGGCCTACTACTTGACTCCTAGGAGCATTTGTTTTTCATATCTGAAATGGTCTTTGTGTGAATTAAATAGCAAAGTCTATTGATTCAGAACTTTGCAAATTATGTATAAAATGCCTTCCAATTTTTAATGGACTGTCTAAGCTTTCCACTGAAAGATTAATATCCATTTCTCACCACACCTGAATAGAGTTCACAGTTTTGCCTTATTGATCTGTTGTCCTAAAGATACCTTCATTAATCACTTATTTCAGAGTAAGGAGAATCTGCTGATCTGCCTCTTTGTACTGCTTAGCAAAGGACAAGGTTGTGCCACTTTCTAACAAATAATTCTTTCTTTACAGCTTTGCCATAAAATGAAGTATAAACCAAAAAAACAAAACAAAACAAAACGAAACAAACCTGTTGGCCGTCGAGTCGATTTCGACTCATGAAGTATACCTAAAACGAAAAAAACGCGTTGCCGTCCGAGTTGATTCCAACTCATAGTGACCCTATAGGATAGAGTAGAACTGCCCCATATGGTTTCCAAGGAGCGCCTGGTGGATTCAAACTGCCGATCTTTTGGTTAGCAGCCCTGGCTCTTAACCACTATGCCACCCTAGAACAGTTATTTTCAGGCCCTCAAACACTTTCCCCTAGCCAGAGTATGCCATGGCGGTCCCACTCTACAGATAATCTTCTCCAGTACCAGTCACCACCCCTCCAAATGCCAGCCTTTTTGCTCACAGCAACTCGGCTTTAAGGTATTCCAATGTGGGACTGGGTTGAAGGCGTCTCCTTCCTAAACCCCAGAAATACACTGTACCCTTCCCAGCTTTCTGTCATTAGTACTTACCATCATTACTACCACTCTTTTGTTGTTGTTAGGTGCTGTTGAGTCGATTTTTGACTCATAGCGACCCCATATGACAGAGTAGAACTGTCCCCATGGGGTTTTCTAGGCTGTAAACTTTACAGAAGCAGATAGCCAGGTCTGTCTTCCTATTGTTGTTAGGTCGCGTCAGTACCAACTCATACCTACCCTATGTACAACAAAACGAAACACTGCCTGGTCCTGCGCCATCCTCACAATCATGGCTATGTTTGAGCTCTTTGTTGCAGCCACTGTGTCAGTCCACCTCGTTGAGAGGCTTCCTCTTTTTCTCTGACCCTCTACTTTACCAAGCATTCTGTCCTTCTCCAGGGACTGGTCCCTCTGGTAATATGTGCAAAGTACATGTCTTAGTCATCTAGTGCTGCTATAACAGAAATACCACAAGTGGATGGCTTTAACAAAGAGAAGTTTATTTGTTCACAGTCCAGTGTGATAGAAGTCCGAATTCAGGGCACTGGCTCCAGGGGAAAGCTTTCTCACTTTGTTGGCTCTGGAGGAAGGTCCTTGTGATGCATGTCTTCCCTTGGTCTGGGAGCATTTCAGCGCAGGAACGTCAGGTCCAAAGGACGCGCTCTGTTCCCGGCACTGCTTTCTTAGTGGTATGAGGTCCCCGTGTCTCTCTGCTCACTTCTCTCTTTTATACCTCAAAAGAGATTGGCTTAAGACACTATCTAATCTTGTAGATCTCATCAATGTGACTGCTTCTAATCTATGTTATTACATCATAGTGAAAGGATTTACAACACATAGGGAAATCACATCAGATGACAAAACATAGACAATCAAACAATACTGGGAATCATGACCTAGCCAAGCTGACAGATATTTTTGGGGAACACAGTTCAATCCATGACAGTATGTGAGATGAAGTCTTGCCATCCTCGCTTCTAAGGAGCATTCTGGCTGTACTTCTTCCAAAACAGATTTGTTCATTCTTCTGGTAGTTCATGGTATATTCAATATTCTTTGCCAACACCATAATTCAAAGGCATCAATTCTTCTTCAGTCTTCTTTATTCATTGTCCAGGTTTCATGTGCATATGAGGCGATTGAAACTACCATGACTTGGGTCAGGCGCACTTTAGTCCTCAAAGTAGCATCTTTGCTTTTGAATACTTTGATTTCTTGATTGCTGCTTCCATGGGCATTGATTGTGTATCCAGGTAAAATGAAATCCTTGATAATGTCAATATTTTCTCTGTTTATCATGATGTTGCTTATTGGTCCATTTGTGAGGATTTTTGTTTTCTTTATGTAGACGTGTAATCAGACTGAAGGCCATAATCTTTGATCTTCATCAGTAAGTGGTTCAAGTCCTCTTTGCTTTCAGCAAGCAAGACTGCGTCATCTGCATACACAGGTTGTTAATAAGTCTACCTGTAATCCTGATGTCATGTTCTTTTTCATATAGTCCACTTTCTCGGATTATTTGCTCAGCATACAGATTGAATAAGTATGGCAAAAGGATACAGCCCTGATGCACACCTTTTCTAATTTTAAACCATGTATGGAAACCCTGGTGGCATAGTGGTTAAGAGCTATGGCTGCTAACCAAAAGGTTGGCAGTTCAGATCCACCAGGTGCTCCTTGGAAACCATATGGAGTAGTTCTACTCTGTCCTATAGGGTCGCTATGAGTTGGAATTGACTCAGTGGCAATGGGTTTTGTTTGGTTTTTAGTATCTCCTAGTTCTGTTCGAACAACTGCCTCTTGATCTATGTGCAGGTTCCTCATGAGCACAATTAAGTGTTCTGGAATTCCCATTCTTTGCAATGTTATCCATAATTTGTTATGATCCACATAGTCAAATGCCTTTGCATAGTCAGTAAAACACAGGTAAACATCTTTCTGGTATTCTCTACTTTCAGCCAAGATCCATCTGACATCAGCAATGATATCCCTCCTTCCAAGTTCTCTTCTGAATCCAGCTTGAATTTCTGGCAGTTTCGTGTCAATGTACTGCTGCAACTGTTTTTGAATGATCTTCAGCAAAATTTTATTTCTGTGTGATATTAATGATATTGTTCAAAATTTCCACGTTCTATCAGATGACCTTTCTTTAATGTGCGCACAAATATGGATCTCTTCCAGTCGGTTGGCCAGATAGCTGTCTTCCACATTTCTTGGCATACACAAGTGAGCGCTTCCAGTGTTTGCATCCATTTGTTGAAACATCTCAATTGGTATTCTGTCAATTCCTGGAGCTTTTTTTTTTTCCACCAATGCCTTTAGTGCAGCTTGGACTTCTTCCTCCAGTACCATCAGTTCTTGATCATATGCTGCCTCCTGAAATGGTTGAACATCAACCAATTCTTTTTTTAACTGTGCTCTAAGTGAAAGCCCACAGCTCAAGTCAGTTTCCCATATAAAAATCCACACACACATTGCTATGTGACCCTAGTTGCTCTCCCTATAATGTGACAGCACACTCCTCCCTTCCACCCCAGACTTCCCACGTCCATTCAACCAGCTCCTGTCCCCACCGTGCCCTCCCATCTCGCCTCTGGACAAGAGCTGACCACCTGGTTCCATGTAGCTACCTGAGCCAAGAAGCACTGTCTTCATGAGTATCATTTTATGTCTTACAGTCCAGTCTAATCTTTGCCTGAAGAGTTGGCTTCAGGAATGTCCCTAGTTCTGGGCCAACAGAGAGTCGGGGGCCATGTCTTCTGTGGTTCCTCCAGTCTCAGTCAGACCACCAAGTCTAGTCCTTTCACTAGAATTTGAGCTCTGCACCCCACCCTTCTCCTGCTCCGTCAGGGACTCCCTGCTTTGCTCCCTGTCAGGGCAGTCACTGGTGGTAGCCAGGCACCATCCAGTTCTTTGAGTCTCAGGCTGATGGAGTCTCCGGCCCACGTGGCCCTCTCTGTCTCTTGGGCTAATATTTTCTTTTTGTCCCTGGTGTTCCTTACTCTCCTTTGCTCCAGGTGTGTTGGGACCAATTGGTGTATCCTAGATGGCTGCTTGCTAGCTTTTAAGACCCCAGACGCCACCCACCAAAATGGGATGCAGCATTTTCTCAATAAAGTTTGTTATGCCATTTGACCTAGATGTCCCTCAAAACCATGGTCCCCGGACCCCTGCCCCTGCTACCCTGTCCATCAGAGTGTTTGGTTGTATTCAGGAGACTTCTTAGCTTTTGGTTTAGTCCAGTTGTGCTGACTTGCCCCTTACTGTGTGTTGTCCTTCCCTTCACCTAATTCTTGTCTACTATCTAGTTAGTGAATACCCCTCTCCCTCCCTCCCCACCCTTGTAACCTTTTCTTATTAATAAGTGGTCTCATACAATATTTGTCCTTTTGTGACTGACTTATTTCACTCAGCACAATGCCTTCCAGATTTATCCATGTTATGAGATGTTTTGCAGATTCATCATTGTTCTTTATAGTTTCGTAGTATTCCATTGTGTGAATATACCATAATTTGTTTATTCATTTGTCTGTTGGTGGGCACCTAGGTTGTTTCCATCTTTTTGCTATTGTGAACAGTGCTGCAATGAACCTGGGTATGCATGTATCCATTTGTGTGACAGCTCTTATTTCTCTAGGATATATTCCAAGGAGCAGGATTGCTGGCTTGTATGGTACTTCTATTTCTAGCTTTTTAAGGAAGCACCAAATCAATTTCCAAAGTGGTCGTACCATTTTACATTCCCACCAGCAGCGTACAAGTGTTCCACTCTTCATGTATCTGGTAGCTGCCTGAATGTCTTCTTTGGTGAAGTGCCTGTTCATATCCTTTGCCATTTTTTAATTGCGTTATTTGTCTTTTTGTTGTTGCAATTCTTTTTGGTACAGTGATTCTCTGTATTCCTTCCATCTTCTTTTAATGCTTTCTGTTGTCGTTAGGTGCCATCAAGTCAGTTCCAACTCATAGTGACCCTATGTACAACAGAACAAAATACTGCCTGGTCCTGTGCCATCCTCCTGATTGTTGTTATGCTTGAACCAATTGTTGCAGCCACTGTGTCAATCCATCTCATTGAGGGTCTTCCTCTTTTTTGCTGACCCTCCACTTTGCCAAGCATGACGTCCTCCTCCAGGGACTGGTCCCTCCTGATAACAGGTCCAGAGTGTGTGAGAAGAATGCTTCGTGCGTTGTTGAATATTTTGCCCATAGACTTCTTCAGTATTGCAGCTTGAGGCTTGAATTTTTTCTTCATTCTTTCAGCTTGAGACATACCAAGCATTGTCTTGTCTTTTGGTTTTCTAACTCCAGGTCTTTGCACATTTCATTATAATATTTTACTTTGTCTTCTCGAGCTGTCCTTTGAAATCTTCTCTTCAACTCTTTCACTTAATCATTTCTTTCATTGACTATCTACTCTACGTTCAAGAGCAACTTTCAGAGTTTCTTCTGATATCCATTTTGGTCTTTTCTTTCTTTCCTGTCTTTTTAATGACCTCTTGCTTTCTTCATGTATGATGTCCTTGATGTCATCCCACAACTCATCTGGCCTTTGGTTATTAGTGTTCAAAGCGTCAAATCTGTTCTTGAGATGGTCTCTAAATCCAGGTGGGATATACTTAAGGTCATACTTTGGCTCTCGTGGACTTGCTCTAATTTTCTTCAGCTTCAACTTGAACTTAAATATAAGCAACTGATGGTCTGTTCCACAGTCAGCCCCTGGCCTTGTTCTGACTGATGATGTTGAGCTTCTCCATTGTCTCTTTCCACACACGTAGTCGATTTGATTCCTGTGTATTCCATCCGGCAAGGTTCACATGTATAGTCGCCATTTACAGTGGTGAAAAAAGGTATTTGCAATGAATAAGTCGGTCTTGCAAAATTCTGTCATGCAATCTCTGGTGTCATTTCTGTCACCAAGGCCATATTTTCCAACTACCAATCCTTCTTCTTTGTTTCTAGCTTTCCCATTCCAATCACCAGTAATTATCAATGCATCTTGATTGCATATTTGATCAATTTCAGACTGCAGAAGTTGGTAAAAATCTTCTATTTTTTCATCTTTGGCATTAGTGGTTGGTGTGTAAATTTGAATAATAGTCGTATTAATTGGTCTTTCTTGTGGGTATATGGATATTATCACTGACAGAGTTGTACTTCAGGACTGATCTTGAAATACTCTTTTTGAGAATGAATGTGACACCATCCCTCTTCAGTTTGTCGTTCCTGGCATAGTAGACCTTTCTACTTACACCAGGCTTTTTGCAAAGGCTTCTTCCAAGTTCCTCCCCCTTCCTTCTTCTCTTCACAGCCAAGATTCTTGAAAGGACCTCCTCACCAATCTATGGCTCCTCAACCAAATATAATCCACCTTCTACATCTGTTATTTTGCTGAATTGGTTCTTCCTAAGGTCACCAATGACCTTCTGATTGTCAAATCCAGTGACTTTTCTCAGGCAGCTTCTTCTTTGACCTCTCTGAAGTATTTGGCACTTCCTCATTCCCCCCCTTTTTTTTTTAAAGGGTGTGAGTGTTTTTCTTATGAGAATTATTGCATACAATATGGAAACTGGAGAAAAGAAAAAATCAGTAAAATCCCATCACACTTGAATAACCACTGTTAATATTACCCCTTACATTGTGAAACTCTTCTTTTCTTGGTTTCCAGCACCCTCTTCTCTACTAATTGTCCTCCTGCCTTCTCTGACCATTCTTTCTCGATGTCCTTTGTTAGTTTCTTGTCCTAAATTCTGGTGTTTCCCAGGGCTTTGGTGTTAACACTCTTCTTTTCTCACTGCACACTCTCCCTGGGTGACTTTATCCACCCCAGTGGCTACAGCCACCATCTAAACACTAATGATTTCCTGTATGTCCAGATCTAAATTTCTTCTGTCTCTTGGACTTGTCCATCTTTATGTCTCACAGGTACTTCATACTCATTGTGCTCCAATATGAACTCATATTTCTCCCCAAACCTGCTGTTCTTCCATTCCTTATCTCTGTGAATAATATCCTTCCAGTTACCAATACTAACTCATTTCTCTCCCTCATCCCCCACATCAGTAAGTCAACAGATCCTATTGATTCTACCTTCTAATTTCTCTCAAATCTCTCCCCTCTTCTCCATTCTCGTATCTTAGTTTAGCCATTCATCTTTTCTTAACTGTGTTATTGCAGCAACCAGCTAACTGCTCTCCATGCCTTCAGACTTTGCCGCTCTAATCCATTCTAATCTACACAGTAGCCAAAGATCTGACCATGGCATTCTCCACTTAAAAACCCTTCTCTGACTCCCCTTTGCCCTCAGAATAAAGGCCCAGTGTGAGGGGCTCAATAAAGGGCACTTAAGGCCCTTCAAAATCAGGCTTCTGCCTACCTCTCCTCCCTCATCTTTTATCACCCCCCACCTCCTGCACACACCCATACACACAGCACTCCAGCCACACTGAACATCTCACAATGTTGTATAACACCATTTTGTTGCCCAGCATATACTATGTGTGCAATAAGTGTGTACTGAAAGAATGGTTTGAGTTCTTTACGAAATCCATGAGTGAATGCTTATGAAATATCTGCTCCTGTTTGCTGGTATTTTTAGGAAAAAATAAACCTTCTACCAGAAAGCATCTTTGATGGTTTAAAGATGTGTAGTAATGTTAACAAAATAACATGTCAGGGCTCTTTTGGAATTAAAATTTCTACAGCATCACACACACACACAAGAAAAAGTCGTTTGGCTTTAGGAACTTTGTCATGATGGCCTCTTTCAACACCCATTCAGGAGTTACTTAAAATCATACAACACACTAGAAGCAGAGCTAGAATTAAACTTTTTTTTTAACTGAAAAACTCTTTGAGCACAATCTAACACATGAGCCAAATACATAAAATGGTGCTATTGGGTTTCACAACTCTGCCCACTCACTAGCCCCCTTTTCCCTTGTAGCAGCTTCCTAAGGAATCTCTAGGGTAGCTCAGACAAGAATTTGAAAACCACTAGTTTAGTAAAAGGGACTCAAGACTGGAGTCAGGATATCTGGATTCTACAGAAGATTCTGCCACAGAGTTGGGCAACTCTGAGCAAGTCCTTTTCCCTTTCTGGGGCCTCAGTCTCCTTTATTGTGAATGAGAGGCTGAGATCATTTGATCTCAGAAGTGCCTTCCAGTTGAAATACTATTTCTATCATTCTTGATCCTTAGCCTTTCTCTCTCACTGGCCTACATGACCACTGACTCAGCTCTTCCTTTTGTCCCCAGGACAACCTCAACTTGCTGCTTACTGAGGAGGAAATGTACAGCCTCATGGAGACCTTTCAGCAGTGTAAAGTCATCCCTGGTGAGGCTGGAGGGTGCTGCCAAGATGGGAGAGGGGCTGGGCAGATTTTCCCTTCACACTTTCTAGGATGAACCATGAAAGGAGTATTCTGGAATTTGCGGGGTAGTGGGTAAATGGTCCCTGTTCCCAAGCTGTTGGCCAACAGAGGCACTACCCACAACCACAGCCTGAGTTACCCTGGCTATGGGAGACAAAGACTTAACAAGAGGTGTGGACATGGGGACACTGGAGGGTGCTCTGGAGGTGAATGGAGTTACCCCAGAGGCTGAGGAAAGGGTATGGCCAGCATGGGGTGCCTCTCCACAGATTGCTCCCTGACACTGGAGGACTTCCTGCGCTACCGCCACCAAGCAGCGAAGCGGGGGGACAGTGACAGGGCCCTGAATGAGGAACAAGAGGAGCAGGCAGCCCGCCAGTTTGCAGCCCTGGACCCTGAACATCGAGGCCACATAAAGTGGCCTGACTTCTTGTCCCATGAATCCCTCCTACTTCTGCAGCAGTTGCGTCCCCAGGTGAGGGCCTCTGTTTCAAAACCCATTTGGGAGTTATTTAAAGTGATACAACCCACTAGAAGCGAGCTAGAATTCTTCTTCTTCTTTTTTTTAACTAAAATAACTCTTTGAACACAGTCTAACATGGGAGCCAAATACATAAAATGGATAAAAATGGAGCTGGATTCTCCATGGGATAGTGGGTGGCAGAGCCCTGGGAAGCATGCTGGGTAGGTTAGGGGAGCACTAAGTACTGTCTAAGCAGGGACCATTACGAAAAATGGGCTCAGGTTCCATCCAGAGACGGGTGATCCAGTGCCTAGGCTGGGGAAACTGGCCAAGGAAGACTGATTTGCACTGGACCCCACTGAGAAAGTTGGTGCTACCAGATACCAGAAAGGCTCTGGGCAACTTCAAAGGGAGGTCACATTTACAGTAGCAAAGGTGGTAATGGAAGTAGCATTCTCTATGGCTTGACAGTTACCTCCAAGATCTTAACTTGCCTCTTCTTCCCCAGAACTCTCTATTGAGGCTTCTAACAGTCAAGGAGCGAGAACGAGCCCGAGCCACCTTCTTGGCACGCGGCAACGGGAACACCATCAGTGAGGCAGAGTGCCGCCGTGCCCGGAACTCTTGGTTCTGCAAACATCTCTCAGAGGCGCCTTCCTGCAGTGTCAGGTCTGCTCCCTACCAATCCCTACCCCCATTCACCCTGCCCTCCTCCTTTTTCATGCCAAATGACCCTTGGAGTGAAAGGTACTTTCCCCCTTCTGCCAACAGCCAGGAGAGGATCCTCCTGCACATTAGACAGAGGACAGCAATTCCTATTGACCAGGACACAGGGCGGCCTCTACTCCAAACTCTGTCATCCCATGTCAGAAAACTCTGGACATGCACATCCAAAGCCATAGGTTCACCGAAGTCCAGGAGGAGGCAGGCCCTTCACTGTCCCACTCCTAACCACATGCCGTTGTGCCCAACAGCATTAGCCATGTGGGTCCCATAGCAGACAGCAGCCCAGCCAGCAGCAGCAGCAGCAAGAGCCAGGACAAGACCCTGCTGCCCACAGAGCAGGAGTCCAGGTGAGTTGGGACCTCTTACCTGGCTGTCTGCACCCACACACACCCCAAACACACACACAGGTAAGAGAGGGCATGGCCCACTGCCAGCCCACAACAGCAAGTGCCCACCCCATAAACCAGGTTCCAGGAGGGCACATTTGACCCCAGATCTTTAGGGCCAGCCAGCTGGTCTGTAGGCTTGGTAACAACAAGCCATAACCACCTGAGACATGAGCCAGTGCTTCCCTGAGTTTTGCCCAGCCCAAGCCGTGCTGCAACTGGAATCTGGTCTCATGAGCCTTCAGGCTCTGCAGCCAGCCTCCCAAACCTCTTTTCTTTGCTTCCACTCCAGATTTGTGGATTGGCCCACCTTCCTGCAGGAGAATGTCATCTACATCTTGGCCGCTCGCCCCAACAGTGCAGCCATTCATCTGAAACCCCCAGGATAGCATGGAACAGAGAAGTTCAGCTCTGGGACAGTGGCATTCTCTTGGTCCTTTCCTTTCTCCCTTTCCCCCACCAAACCCTGGCACTGAGGCTCATGGGGATGGGGCACTGCCAGCATCTTAATTTGTCACTAAGCTTTATGTCACTGAAATCACCATTCTTGTCACAGCAGAGGCAGTAAAATCAATGCCACGGGGAGAAGCCCTGGGAGCTATGGCAGTATCCGCTCCTGCACCACAGGCCCTGAGGGATCCACACCCCTGCCCTCACATCATAGCTGGCATCACAGACTGGACCTGCCACCACACACGTATATGTGTGCACACACACAAACACACACATGCCTAGCTGTCCATGCCTTCAGAGGCCTGGTTATTTTAGGCTGGAAAAGGACCAAAGTCCCATTGTGAAGCCCTTGGTGTAGATGAGGAGGTTTCTACTCACCCCTTTTCTTGGCCAGTTCTGATTCTAATAGTTAAGTGTCTGGCCAAGTGATTCTTAGTGAGGGGGCATATCAGACTCACATGTGCCCCTGGAGATGCTACATACCCATTTTACGCCCATGAAAATCCTCTCTGTGGTAAGCTACTAATGGGTGTGTACTATGTCCCTCAGGTGTGTCAGGGTGGGGAAATAGCTGATAACCACCACTGCAGTTCATCCCACTATTTACTTAAATTCCAATTCCTGATGACAGAGAAGACAACTAGCCTGTTTAGGAAAGAGGAAGGCAGCCTCTCCCAGGGACCTAGAATTCTAGGAACCTCTCAACCAGGTCAGCCAAGTCCAGAGGTCTTTAGCAGAATAGTCAAAAGCCAGGGTGAGTACTTTTGGCCCCTGTTTTTCAGGTGGTAGCTCATGATCCAGAGCCCAAGGGGGCCTGAGTGGAGCAGGAGTCATAGTCCTCTGTGTTAGTTGCTTCACCCAAGTCAGCCACCACAGAGACCCAAAGCCTGAGCTCAAATGCAACAAGATCTGGATGGAAGAGGAGCAGAGAGGGGTCAGCCCTTCCATCTGCTCCAGTTCAACTCAGCCTTAGACCTAGAAAAGGAAAAGTATGCCATTATGTGGAGAACAGAGCCAGCCTCTTCTGCAGCCCAGGAAAGAACAGCTCCACAGAATCCCTGAGCAGGGACTCCTTTTAACCATCCTGACTGCAATGATAGGAGACTGGCGCTAAAAAGAGGATTTGCATCTGAGCTCTTCCAAGCAGAGAAAGGCCTGGCGCATCCTCACAGAAGGAGGAGGTTTTCCCTTCTTCCCATCACTGAGACATGGTCTGAGTTACTGCTTCTCCCCACTGCATGTCCTTCCCTCACCAGGCTAGGCATGGAAGGCATTTAGTGCAAGCAGAGGCTGCCATGAAGGCACCAAGCATGGCCTCCAAGCCCCAGCTCCCCTCCCTAGGTTCTCATCAGATTTTCAAATCAGTGTATGTTGTGGGTGAGCCTGTTCCTGGGATCCAGGTTCTAGGTTTCTATTTCCAACTTACTGGCTTAAGTATACCCAGATCTGACTACCAAGCATTAGAGAGGAGGTTAAGCTCAGTTATGTAGCAACTAGAATATCTCCACTGCTCGAGGCACTTTCTTGTACTAAATTGGGTACTTACAGAAGGAGCACATAGCTCAGTGTTGAGATTCTCAGAGGAAAGGGAGCCGCAACCAGCGGTATGGTAAGAAAGCTCTGTAGTCTCCTCCTGTAGACACTACCTGACCTAGAAGCATAGTGATAAGCTGGGGTTGGATTGTTTGGGACTGAAATGAAGCAGGCACTCAGAAGACAGATCTGGGTTCATGTGTATGGTCCTGAACATCTTAAAACCCACTGTTCTGTAAATATTCCTCAGCTCCACTCCCAGGACTGATCAGTAGAAAGGGCTGTTATTCAATCTAGTACCCTCCCCTCCAAAAAAAGAAAGCAAGCAAGCACATGACTCTTGGGCCTAAGGACTGCATCTGAAGCGGCCAGGCCTGGGGTTTTGCACCGAGAAAATTAAAGTACATTAAGCACAGGGACTCTTGCTTACTCTCCTGGCATATCACCCTGAATGCTAATGGCCTTGGGTCACTTGATCTCATGGACAAGGCATTTTGTGTAGAAACAAGCTCTGGGCTTTGAGAGCTGAATAGCTTTTTTTCTTCTGCCTCCTTGTCAGTCACAGTGACTGGAAGTCCATCTTCTTGTTCCCTGCTGCTGCACAGATCAAGGTGATGCCTACCTTCTTGGAGCTTCTGCTTCTAGCTTTCTGTGGGTGAGTGGTGAGAAAGTGTGGACCAAATCAGGCTGGCTGTATCTAGGCCTGGCAAAGCAAACCCCGGAGTCCTTCCACAGTAGGATCAGACACATTTGGAATCACCCCTCTCCCTGTTCCAGGACAATATGCTTCCTTGGTGGGGGCCTGCTACAGAGGGCCCAGGGGACATTTCCGCCAGCAAAGAATAGAGTTCCAAGGACTCAAGAGTCCTAGGACACAGGATAGCACAGAGGAATGCTTTCTCCAGCCTCTTCTCCATAGGCATCTAGCTCTTTACTAAAAGGGAGTTTCCATCGCTCCCCCATTCCAGGGTTGCAGAAACCCCACTCCGATCCCACTACCTAGAGTCCTCCCTCTGCAGTGTTGTAATCCATGGGCCCCTCTGCAGTCTGTATGAAAATGTTCAGACTTTTCTAAACCTAGTGCAAGCACTTCCATCACTATGGCTGTCTGAAATTCTGCCAAGTATAAAAATTAGTCTCTGACTATAATAAGGGTATGAGAAAATGTTTCAGTCTTTTCTTCCTGGCTGCCCCAAAATGAGATCAGTGCTTTTCCCAAGCATCACCCACTCCATCTCCCAACGTACGTGCTCCTCTGAAGACCACTTGCCCTAAGCCCATTTTTCTCTCAGCAGTCCTCTTCCCCATGCTCAGATTTAAGTAAAGGGGCAGCTGGATGACAGAGTGGAGATGCAGGGACAGAGGGTCAACTGAGGGAGCAGCTGCCGCTCCATAACTTCTCTAGCTCTGCTCCTTAGCTTCCTCTCCTGGGGCTGGCCCTCCCCAGCAGCTGCAGGCACTGAGCTTTTGAGCAGTGGTCCCTTTTGGTATCCCAGGGATGGAGTTCCCTCATGCGATAATGATCCAACTCTCAAGTGCTCTTCTACCTTTGAGGACAGCTGCAGCAGAAGTCATGAGCACACTGCCTCTTCCTGCCCTCAGCCCAAGCGACTGGGGCTGGCAGGGCAGACACTGGCCTTTCTGGCCCTGGTGCTCCCTATGGGATGTCACCTCTGGCCTTTGTATAAGTGGCCAAGTCTAGGGGTTGTCCCATTACTGTCACCAGTATGGGAAGCACAGAATGAAACTGCCCAGGAAGAGGACACCTCACTGGGAGTGACCTCCAGGGTTGTGCCTCGGCCTCTTGGACAACTGGAAGCACAACCTCAACCACTGCAGGTGTCAGCTTCGGTAAGCTCAGCAGAAGCCAGCAGGGCCCCAGGCCAGCCGTGAACAGCCCAGAACTGAGCAACCTTTAGCCAGGATGGAGAACTCATAGCAGGCTCTCGTGATCCTACAAGCGTGTCCCCTTCAAACCAGCAGAGTAAAGTGAGACGTATTCTTGGCACTAAAAGGCAGAGCAACCTTGATGCCAGAATTTCAGGATATCCTGGCAACACCTATAACCACATCTCCTTTCTACTCCCTGGTTTACCACAGAGTAAAATAGCTGCTGTTTTCTCCATGCCACTTAGCTTGGATTTTCCCAGCATCTCTTGGCTCCTGGCTGCAGCCCAGACAACTGAGATCTCTTTATGAGTTGGTGATATTAACGCATCATGCCCTTTCCCAACAGCTCAGCCCTGGAGTAAGGGTGGGACTGGGTGTTTTCCCTGCTGTTGCTTTCCTGCTGCCACTGCTATTGGCAACCTTGAAAGGAAAAGAAATGAACAAGTAACAGAATCTCTACCAGACCCAACTAGTGCTAAGGAAAAGCTGAATCCCAGGGAACCCCCAACTCTTCCCTCTGGGCCACAGAGCATGGAAAGGGTATGGGTCTTATCTGGGCCAATAGCTAAGAAGCCCAGTCACGTTCCAGTTTGTATAGTATTGGGTTGGCGTGACCACAAATGAGAACATCAAGGCATAAGTAGTCGGGCCTTTCCATATCTGTGGTGAAAAGGCCTTCAAACTTAGCCTCTAGTCATTAAGATGGCCTGTAGCCTGTCTCCCAGGCAAAAACAAGATTGTGAGGGGGACTCTGAAAACACTTCAATAACAATGAAGGATCCAAAAGCCTCTGGTCCCTCATGCCCTACCCATGTGCTTTTCTGTGGACGGTAACTTGACAGTAAGCTGAGAGGAATGTCCTCAAGCCCTGTCTGCTCATCATTGCAGCTGCATGCTCCTCCCCATAGCTCAATCTTCACGGGCACTGCAGAAGGAGCTTTGCTCCCAAAGGCTGGTCACAGTGGAAGTCATAATAAAGAGATTGTGATGCTATTTCAGCTTCCTGTTTCCTGTTGTTTGGTAAACATGCTGAGTTTCTGTGTGGTTTCCTATCCTTGGTCAATTCCTGGGTCTGAGTATAAGACAGCAGCAGCTGTGGCCTCCACAATACAGGCAGTCCGTGGGTTATGAACCTCTGACTTACGGACAACGATACTTGCCAGTTAATGTTATGTAAATTTGCCCTCTCTTTGAAACAACCGAACCAAACCTCGCAACAAATTCTTCATCACAATCACCTTCATTTACTGCACGTGCAGCTTTTAAATCATTGAAAAGGCTCTGAGTTTTCTTGGTAACCCAAAACCCGCTGCGGTCAAGTCGATTACGCTCATAGTGACCTTATGGGACAAAGTAGAACTGCCCCATAGGGTTTCCAAGGCCGTAATCTTTACAGAAGCAGACTGCCACATCTTTCCCCTGTGGAGTGGCTGGTGAGTTTGAACCGCCAATCTTTTGGTTAGCAGCCAACTGCTTTAACCACTGTGCCACCAGGGCTCCTTTTTCTTGCACTAAAGTAAGGCTAAATAACTGTATGCACCTGTTCCACCTTACCTACAAATTCAACTTCTTAAAGACAGGAACGGATCTCGTTGGTAAG